CTTGACTTTTTCCTACCCCTCATTCGTCACATTCAACTGATCTCACTATTACCTCTGGTATCCTTTTCCTTTATTTCAGACTCACTGCCACCATCCTAGTCCACTCTGTTGCCCGGAGAGTTGCAACAGTCTCTTAAATTTCTCTCCAGATCTTTCCCACCCATAACCCATATCTCTACCCAAAATCAGTCTCCCTACTAAAGTCATGTGAAGGTTTCTAAATCCTAAGTGTGGTAATATAACTCGGATATTTAAAACTCTTTAAAGGATTCCTATTACATCCAGGATCATTTCTAAAATTAAGGCTATTAGACCCTCTACTATGTGACTCTTAATCGACTTCCTTCCTCTGTGCTCCAGCCACACAGATGGTCTTTTAGTTAACATGTCACACCTCATGACCTTCACACTTACTGAAACGACCTGCACCTCTGTCTGAAACGACCTACCCACCCCCACCCCCCACCCCACTTAACTTGGTTAACTCCACTCAGTCTAATATAGGTTTAGGAAGCATTGATGTCCTTAAAAGACAGACATTTTTCTCATGTTGCACATATGGAAACTGAGGCTCAGAGAGGTTAGGGTATTTGTCCCAGGCCATATAACTGGGTAGAAGAGCATAATTGCCTAATTACAGAGCCATACCAACTTCATTATGGGCAAGTTACTTAATTACTCTGTCTTAGTTTCCTCACCAGAAAAAATGAGGACAATAATAATACTTATCTCACAAAGTTGTTATAAGAATCAAATGAGTTAATATGAAGAGAGCAGTGTGTGTTATAAAAGCACTATATAGTTACGTGCTTTCATGGTGGCAGTGGTAATGGTGACTTTTCTTATTATTGCACATTACATTTTAAAGCCCAAGAGCAAAATAAACCCTTTCCTTTTGACCCTTACAGCAGAACACCTGCTTTTTTGTTTTCTATGTCTTTAATACATTCCTATGCCCCCTTCCAGGCTCCTATCTCCATCCTCCCTTCTGGCACACCTCCACGTTTAAGTCCAAGAACTTTATAAGACATTGGGAGGAGGTTTGAGCCCACAATAGAAAGTTTTAGTTAGGTCCTACCAATGACTGAGCCTGTACAGAAAATGAGTAATGTATCACCCATTTCCCAAACTTTGACATCCTTCATCCACAGGCTCTCTCTCCCCAACACAGCGCCACAGCCTCACCCCCCAACAGAGTCCTAATAAACTTGACAAAGAGTTACCTTCAGTCACTCACCAGTCACCATCAGCAAGGTTAATAGAATACAATTCATGTTGATGCCTGAATCCTGTGCTGAGGATAAGGATGTAGTGGAAATTAACAGGCACAAAGAAAGCACAGAATTTATATCCTGCTTGGGGTTTCTGGACAGCAGAAGGTACAGGTGGAAGAACTGAGGATAAGGATTCTACAAAAGTCTGTCATCTAGCGGTATCTCCTTCCACTCTCTATCCTCGGTGTGAAAGCGGTTCACCAGTCACAGCCGCCCACCTGTCAGTAGGCACGGAGATCTTCTCAGTCTAACTGAAGCCTGCCCTATGGGAAGATGAGGTCCATGGGTCTGAACTTTATCTACCTCCTCTAGGGAAAAGAATTCCAAAGCAGGAGTCAAGTAAACCTTCTGTGGAGTTAAAAGTCATCCCAAGTTCCTCCCCTAGCCTCTCAGTTCTTTTCACCAGTTCCTTCCCCACAATGTGTGACTAGCACCCCTCCCTCTACATGTCCCATTGACCCCCTTCCTTTCTGGGCTACTCTGATGAAGCAGAGCTGTGTCCCACCCTCCTGTGTGACACTGCCCCCTCCCTTTTATGCAGGTAGTGCCTAGCCCACCCGTCCTCAGAACTGCTTCATGTACAGGTCCTGTCTCACAACTACAAATACCATTTGAACAAAAGTTCCCAACCAATACCAACATGAGTGGCTCTTGTCAGAGCTCCAAATCTGTTCTTACTACACTGCCCTCCTGTATGCAGTTCTCTCTCTCTCTCTCTCTCATTCTATCCTTTCTCTGTAGCTGCTTTTTTCAAATTGATTTTTGGTGGAAGAATATAACAAGAATATTACCTAAATAGAAAAGCAGTTAGATGACAGAATGAACCAATAATAGAATTAGAGTCTCTATAAACCTGATGGTTTGTGGAATGAGGCTAGAAGCAGATGTGTCTCCGTGTGTACAAGGAATCTGAAATAATACTAATAAAGAACTTGATAACGAAAAAATTACAAACATGAGGAAATGTTGAGGATCAAAAACACACACAAACACACACTCACACACACACTCACACACATCCATCCATAGAATTCTAAAGCTGTTTTTTCAAACAGAAAAGAACAGCTTTAAGAATGATGTCCATATCAGATATCAGTATCCTAAAAGGAAACAACTGGAGCACCTGGATGGCTCAGTTGTTGAGTGGCCAACTCTTGATTTCGGCTCAGGTCATGATCTCAGGGTCGTAGGATGGAGCCCTGAGATGGGCTCCGTGCTCAGCAGGGGAGTCTGCTTAAGGATTCTCTCTCTCCCTCTGCCCCTCCCCCTGCTCTCTCTGTCTTTCTCTCAAATAAATCTCTTTTTAAAAAAAAAAAAAGATTTTATTTATTTATTTGAAAGAGAGAGAGCACAGAGGGAGAGGGAGAAGCAGACTCCCTGCTGAGCAGGGAGCCCGACATGGGGCTCAATCCCAGGAGCCTGAGATCATGACCTGAGCTGAAGGCAGCTGCTTAACTGACTGAGCCACCCAGGCACCCTTCAAATAAATAAATCTTTAAGAAAAAAAGGAAAAAATAAATGGGATTGGCAAACTACAGGAATCACTCAAAAGCTAAGGTAATATAAAAAGGTATTAGTATTAAAACAAGAAACCCCACACTTGAAAGTAGTTTGCTAGGCCTGGAAAAAAGTGTGTGGGGCAGGGTGGGTGGCAGGGAAAGAAGCTGAGGAGAGAGGGTTATGAGGACAAGATGGGATGAGGATTTACTCTACAGGCAATTGGGAACTACTGAAGAGTTTTTAAAAGGACACTGACATGATTTCATAAGCATTTTAGAAGGAAAAATAACAATTCTAAATAAAAAGGAGAATGTCAAGTTGAGCAACACCAGATGGGCACATATATTAGTTCAAGCATGACAAGATTATGGCCTGGATTAGGATGACAGCAGTGAGAATGGAAAGATAAGGATGGATTTAAGACAGTTCTGGAAGTAGGATGGTTTGAGGTTGAGTGGTGAGAAAAAGAGAGAAATCAAACAAGTGGTAGGTAGAGTTATCTCCTAAAATAAGAAAAACAGGCAAAAGAATGCATTTGAAAAGCTGGAGGAAGAAAGAGTAAAATTCTGACATGCTAAATTTCAGGAACCTAAAGCAGATGCAAAAAAATGGTTTCTAGGAGGGGGTGCCTGGGTGGCTCAGGATCAAGCGTCTGCCTTCCACTCAGGCCTGGGATCGAGCCCCGCGTCGGGTTGCCTTCTCAGTGGGAAGCTTCTCCCTGTCCCACTTCCCCTGCCTGTGTTCTCTCTCTCTGTCAAATAAATAAATAAAATCTTTATTTAAAAAATGGTGTCTAGGAGGCAGTTGTATATGTGGGACAGGAGGTCTGGGCTGGAGATACTAATTTGAAACTCATAGACAGGTAATAGTCCCCAGTACCAGCCTCCTCCAGAAAATCTGTTGTCTTTGGAAAGGCCTCAAACTCCCCTCCTGGTCCATAAGCTTTTCAAAGAAATCTAGGCCCAACAACCTCAGAGTAAAGAATATGTCTCTCTCAAGTTTCACCTCTGTTAACTAATCCTACCCTCACCACAGAAAACCTTCCACAGCTCCATCCTGTCTTTGAACCTCAAACACATTTTGTAAGCCAGCCCTACTCCCCAGTGGACCTCTGTGTTGACTGCGAGGGACAGGAAAGTATGCACCATGTCTCTTTTTCTTTTCACACTTCAGGGAATTTGTGTGAGGAAATGTATTTTTGCAAGATCTAGGAATGCCAGTTGATCAGCTGAAGCCTGGAGGACATGGTTGAAAAGCTATGTGTCTCCAATAATAAGACCTAGATTCTATTTCTAGTCTTCCCAATCATGTGTGTTTTTGAAACACTGATGTAAATTCTGTTTCAGTTCTATTATCTACAGATCAATGAAAAAATGATACCAGCCTTGTCTCCTCTTTGTAGGCTTGTTGTTCCATTGGAATGAGATTATGGGCTTAAGAGACTTTGAAGGGCTAGAGTGATACAAAGTATAATTAATTTTACATTTCAACTGACCCAATATAAAATCACCACTGGCAGCATCTATAAAGAATTTAGCTCAGTGCCTGGGATTTGGTTAAGTGCTATTAGTGAAAGTGTTCTTGTTAGAGTGTGCTCTGAATTATCCAAGGATGACCCTAGCAGTTTATTATTGGCTGAGAAATCTTTTCATTAGGTAAAAAGCCCTGACAGGTCCTGCCTTCTAAATTGTCACCAATACACAGTAGGTCCTAAATTTAATATAACCTAGAATATAGACCATTCTCCAACTGTCAAAATAACTGTTCTATGAGTGCTTTTCATTTCCATGTGTCCTTAGCTCAAAGCTGGTGATCAGGACAACAGAACAAGTTGGTGATGATGGCTCAGTGATGAAACAAACAGCGATCACAGGGAAAGATGAAGGAAGTGTAATAAAGATGGGAGGGGCTAAGGAAAAGGATAAGTATGAGGGGGTTCAGAGCAAACCCGGGGACCCCACTTGAGCTAAGGTGGCGAGTCTTATTCCCCACAGCCCTGGCCTCAGAAACTCTATATGGAAGATAAGTCCTGAGCCTAGAGCTCCCTTTCCCACAGATAGCTGATTGAGGCAGATGGGCTTTTAGGGACAGCAGGTAGAGGGACATGGATCTGGAAGTCTAAGAAACTAGGTTTTTTTTCCTTCCCTGAAAGACCCAAGAGAGGCACAATCTATCTTCCCTGGAGCAGAAGGGCCTTCATCTGTCTGCCTGGAGCCCTCTTCCTCCCCCCTGTTTTTGCCCAGAGCTGTTTTCCAATCCCATTTCATGTCCCCATACCTAACCATATCCACTGATTCTACCAGGCGTTCCTGAGGAGAACACTGTCCTGAGAGTTTCATACTCTGCTGATCTTCTGCATCTCGCAGGGAAAAATCTGGACTGCTATGAAATTTATCTTCTATTTGGGTGTCCTTGCTGGTATGTATCCATGACCTTCTACTCTGTCCTATAAGGCACAGGTTAATGTAGGCTGGAGTAAGGCAGACTGGGGTGTGCAGAGGGTACAAAAGAAGAGCCTAAGAAAACCAGTCATGGACAGAACTAGGTATCTCCCCTCCTAGACCCCACACAAAGGCTCTCAGGAGGCTGAGCCCACTCTTCCAGTGCTAAGCTACTGAGCAGGTGATGGTGCTCACTTGCCTTGGAGAATGCTCGACAATGAGTGTTCCCTGTGGTGATTCCAAAATGTGGGCCTCACCCACAGAGCAGGTCCCAGTGGAGTCACGGGGACAGAGAACTCATTTTGAAGTCTGATATCCCCCCTGTTCCAAAAGTTAAGAGACTCTGAATGCAGGGAATGAGGAAGGTAGAAATAAGATCAAACACAAGGACCTCCCTCCCTCACTCCCTGACTTCCAGGAAGTCCTTCTGATGGCAGAATGTGCTGGTGAGGCATTTCCCACCACTTCCTGACTGCCTGTGTTGCATCACTATTAGCTGTGTGGGCTTGGACAAATTAATTAAGCCATCTATGCTTCAGTTTCTTTTGTCAAAATGGGGATATTACTCCCTATATTATAGAGATGTTGTGAAAATGTTAAATAAACCCATGGAAAGCACTTAGAACAAGAGCTCAGTGCCTCTTGTCCTTACTAATAGGCCACTTTTTTCCCCTTGGGATTGCTGTGTGATCATAAAAGGGTGTGGGGAGGTATAGGCCAGGGCTTGGGAAGGATTAATGGAAGAACCAAAGACAGCCGAGGCAAGAACAGTACTTTATTTCTGACGCTACAAGCAGCCTTCCTCCCTATCTTCTCACGTGTTTTTTTTTTAATAATTCACTACATGTTCATATTAAAAATTTGGAAATATTAAAAAGTAGGAAAAAAGAAACATTGTTCATAATCCCACCTCTCAGTCAACACATGCTAACACTTTAAATTTACTCCCAGGCTTTATTTTATTTACTTTTGCATTTAAATGGTTTATTTTTTCCTTTGCTTGTTTTTAGACAATTGGATTACTGGATTAATGTACATATTTATTATTATTATTAACTTAATGAATGTTTATCAGTATTTCCTTTGTTTAATATTCTTTATAAATATAATTTTAATATATGTGATGTTCCATATGTTGATGTACTTTTTCATTTCAGTGCCCTACATTACTATACTGGACATTTATATTTTTAATGTTTAGCTATTATAAATAGTGCTAAAATGAGCACACATTCATAATTTTTGTCTACACTTAAATATTTCTTTAGAATGGATTCTTGGGGTTGGAATTATTAGGTCATAGGTGATGCACTATTTACACTCTTGATGCCTATTTCTAAATGTTTTTCAAACAGACAGAATTAATTCATGTCCCTACATGCAATGAAAGAGAGTCTCTTCCATTGTACTTTCTTAGATTTTAATAGTATCAACATTAAACCAAAAAGTATTATTATAAATATCAGATAAAATGCTATGTCATTTTTATTAGAAAAAGAGGGTCAAACATTTTCACATTTCCTGGCCAGTCGATTACTTCTTTAAAATTGCTCATATTCCTTTTCAACTAGGAAACTGCTGATTGTCTTATTTGTCTTAAGACATGTCTTACCTACTATTAAGAATGTTCTATATATTAAGAATACTGATTATTTTCCCAGGGACACTTTTCTCTGCTCACTCGTCTGTGCAGAAAGAAGACCATGCTCCCTATCTGGTATACCTCAAGTCTCACTTCAACCCCTGCGTGGGTGTCCTCATCAAAAACAACTGGGTGCTAGCCCCAGCTCACTGCTACTTACCGTGAGTGCTGGGAACCCTCCCCCCCACCCCCGGAAGCAGCTGTGATTCATTCTACATCAGTGGTTCTCAAATGGAGGCAACTTTCCCTTTCAGGGTACATGTGGCAAAGTCTGACGATAGTTTCAGTTTGTCACAATGCACTGAGGGGGTGCTGTGCTCTTGGCATCTATCTAGCAAATAGAGGCCACAGCAAGGAGGCCACTGAACATCCTACAGTGCGCAGGCCAGCCCCCACAACAATCACCCAGCTCCAAATGTCAGTAGTGAGGAAACCCGCTCCACAGAGCATGCCTCCTCAGTTCTTTCAAGTTTTTTACTGACAGTATGAATGTGTCTTATCTCTTAAGGGACCAGCAGGTAACTGAGGGTGCATTCAAATTGGACAAACTGAGAATAGTTCAGTGCCCCCAGGATTAGTATCGGAAAGGTACAGTTACTACCCCTAGGCCTAAGGGGGCAAGAGGAGAGAATGGTTACAAGAAGGGGAGTGTGGAAGGGTGGGGAGGAGAGAGAGAGAGGAAGGGAGGAAGCACTGTGTGGAGGGATGGCCTGATAGGAAGCCTGGTGTGGCAACCCTGTGGGAAGGTAACTGGGAGGATAAATACTCCAACCTCATTCTCCCTCCCATTACTGCCTGGTGCTTGCTATCAACAAAACCTAATCAGAGAACAGAGGACAGGAGAATCCATTGATTTAATCTACATATATCACCTCCCAAAGGTAGAGAGCAGGATGAAGTAGGGTTGTGAGTGGATCTGATGAAGTCAACAGAGCTCCAACACTCCGGTCATCCCATTCTTTTACATCCACCAGAATGCAAATGCCCAGTTGGATAGGCTGGAGCTGGAGCGGAGGGAAAGTAATATTTCTATGCCACGCACAATTGTCCTCTCTGCTACATTAAGGATACTACATGAAAACACAGTGGTTAAAAGCTCCCCCTTTACCGTGTGACTGTGGGTGAATTACTACTATGTGCCTCCATTACTTCACCTGTAAAATGGATTAAAAATAGAATCTACTTCATAGTTTTGTGGTGAGTAGTGAATGAGGTAATCCAGACTCCAGATAAAGCAACTGGCACAGTACCTGACACATTGTAACATTCAATATCATCTTTGACGACACAATGATAATGATGACAATGATCATGATGATGAGGGTGATGGTGACAGTGATTACTTCCAACCCCTTCTCCCTCCAGAAACCTGAAAGTGATGCTGGGAAATTTCAGGATCAGAGTCAGAGATGGCACAGAGCAGGCAATTAACCCCATCAAGATTATCCGCTACTGGAACTTTAGCCATAGCAACCCCCAGGATGACCTCATGCTCATTAAGCTGGAGAAACCTGCCAGACTCAATAACAAAGTCCAGCCCCTTCCCCTCGCCACCAGCAACGTCCGGCCAGGCACCGTCTGTCTACTCTCAGGTTTGGACTGGAGCCAAGACAACAACGGTGAGTGTACCCCCCACAGCAAATCAGTGGAGGAGCACCATGTCCACATAGCTGAGAAGAGAGGAGAGGAGAATGGGCAGAGACCACGAGTGGTCTAGCAAGAAGAGACCCACCCACAAGTCCAAAGCTCCTCCCCTCCCAGGAAGTTGACACACCACTACCTCCTTGAGGCTTCAGCTGCTGGAGTCACCAGGCCATCTGACTCTGAACAGAGGCCACACTGTTCCTGTCAGAGGCAGGATTCCCATTGAAGAGGCTGTGCTCCTCCCTTGCATATGGCTCATTTTGCATGTAGAAGAACCTCAGAGAACCTGAGTCAGGTCACCTCTTATTCCTCCAAGACTGGACACAGAGTAGAAAGGAAACTCTGTTTCTTAAAGAGACATAAAGGCTATTTTTAAATCCTCTAGATTAACTCTCATAGCGATGCACAAGATCATTCCCTTTTCTCATTCCTTTTCTCTTCAGACATACACCAGTGGAAATAGAGGGTAGTGGTTGGAGGGGCTACTTAACAATGGCGAACAGAAAGGCTTCTTCTATCCTGTCTTCCCTCAGGCAGACACCCTGATTTAAGGCAGAACCTGGAGGCCCCTGTGATGTCTGATAAAGAGTGTCAGAAAACCCAACAAGGAAAAAGCCACCGGAACTCCTTATGTGTTAAATTTGTGAAAGCCTTCAGCCGAATTTTTGGGGTAATCTTTTTCTCTATATTCAGTTTTCATTTGCTTGTATGTGTCTAGTTAACCAATCATGACAGTAAAAAAAAAAAAAAAAAATTAGAACACCCTCATCCTCTCACCATTTTTTTGAGAATTTGATAAGTCTGCAGCAAAGCCCCCATTGTCCTTCAGTAATGGGCCCTCCTTACAAATGTCCTTATTCATTAAAGCGTGTCATGCAGCACCTCCACTTTGCTAGATTTATTATTTATTCTTATAGCTGCAGGTCAAAATGGGCTTAAAAAAATTCAAACTTCACAATGGAAACTGGCTTCACCAGTCCAGATAAAAATGGGGTTTGACTCATTTTACATGTGAGTTCTAGAGAGGTTTTTCTCTGACTTTCTCAAGATGAAACAAGGCTAGAACTCATCTAGATCCAAAGCTAGCCAGCTTCCTGTCTCCTGATCCGGTGCTCTTTTCATGACCCAGCATGCTACCCCTGGGCAGAGCTCATCCATGTTGGGGACAAGAGGGCTCCTGTGACAAGATCTGATCATCTCTCTCTCTGTCTCCCTCTCTCTGCATGATCTCTGGTAGGAGGTGGCCGTCGCTACCGTGATCTGCAAAAACAAGCTCCAGGGGATCGAGGTTGGACACTTCATGGGAGGAGATGTCGGAATCTACACCAATGTTCACAAATATATACCCTGGATTGAAAGCATCACTAAAGAAAAATGACACCTTACTACTCCCTCTGCATCCCACTGGCTTTGTCATTGACTCTACAAGCCACTACTTTCTCCAAACTCAAAATAAAATTTCCAAGTGGAAATGCATTACACCAGTAGCCTATGTTTTCTTGGTTGTGTCTCTGCCCATATCCCATCATGATGTGAAGAACCAAGAACAAAACATGAAATGAGCACTTATCACACTGTACTAGGATTACATCCATTATCTCATTTAATGCTCATAACAAATCCTTGAGGTTATCTTTCATTCCCACCTTACAAATGAGAAAGTTGAGAATAAAAAGAGTACTTAACATTATCTAAAGCTGATAGACATCACAGCCTGGAATGGAACCCCCAAATTCAGATTCTCAATCCCATGCTCTTAGCCTCAAAATTATAGGGGGGTCCATGGCCTCACAACAGATTTTGGCTTCTATTTTCCTGCTACTTCTCTTATTCAAAGACTCCGAAGCTTTCACTTGTGGCTAAGATTGTGGGTACTGGAATAATCTCTCCTAAGAACAGCCACGCTTTCTCTCACTGCTGCGCTGATGGCAGCATGCTGCAGCGAGACAGCTAGTAAATGGGTAAGAAGTAAAAAAAGAGAACTTCAGGACAGGGTCAACTGACATAAATCAAAGGAAGCCTGGCAGCTCCAGAACAAGGTGAAAAACTCATCTGATCCAAAGAGAGTATAACCTCAGGGCAGTAGAAGATTCCAGAGGCAGATATGGCTGAGAGGAGGTGAAGGAAGGGCAAAAATTGGGCTTAGCCACAGACCATGGGATTAACAAAGTCAAGAAAGTGGGCACCAGTCCTCCGGTTGAGAACTTGGTATAGAACTTGAGAACTGAGAACTCCAGGTGTCTCAAATCTGGAAATGATAGAGAAATTCTGTATATCCAAGACATTGGGGAAGGGGCGCCTGGGTGGCTCAGTTGGTTAAG